CTCACCCCACCCCGTGCAGCTTACAGTCGCCTGACACAGCAAGGGCGGGGATCCAGCCTGGGTCACCTCTACATCCCCCAGGCCCAGCACAGAGCCAGGGCATCACTAGTGTAAGTCCAATCAAAAGTGAGCATAAAACATTGCTCCCAATGGCAGGCTGTCAGGGGTAGGTTGATGTTCTAGAGAGGGCAATAAACTGGGAACTGGCTGCTAAGAGCTGGAATCTTCCTTCTGCTACTCCAGAGCTCTGTGACCTTGGATAAGTTACTCAGTCTCGCTGAGCCTTGACTTCCTCATCAGGAAAATGAAAACATGAGCACTTTTTGCAGCTCTCAAGGCTATTGTGAAGACTCACTACATGAGAAAATAGAGGAAATTTTGAACAAGTGGGGTGCACGCGGGTGGAAGTTGCCAGGGGGCAAGATGCTTTCCAGAGGGGTGATCTGGGAGGGTTGGGAAAAGGGGTGGTGTGTTTGCAGGGTTTATGTTGGTGAGCATGGCACAGGCTCAGAGGCCAGAAGTGGAGCAGCTCAGCCCAAGACTGGACGAGGGTGACCGGCAGGGCTGGCGCATCACCTGAGCCCTGACTCCAGCGGGTGGTGCTGCTGTGAAATGAGCAGAGCCCACCCCGTTCTCGAGGTCACCATATTAAAAAGAAGATGCTGAGGTCCTCCCCTGGTGGCGCAGGCGGTTGAGAACGGTGCTGTGAAGCTGTCCGCAGCCTCTGCAGCACCGGTTCAATCCCGGCCAGCCAGCGGGGTCCCACATGGCGCAGCAGACCTCTCATGTCTCGCCTGCTGCTCCCCTCAGCAGTGTACTTCGTCAGTCTGCCTGTTCTGTTCCCCACTCTGTCTCTGCCGAATCCTCTCACCCTCCCACACATCTGGCCTATAAACTGGTTCTTGTGCAAATAAATAAATAAATCTTAAAAAAAAAAAAAAAAAGGAAGGTGCAGAGCCTGGGACAGGGATGACACGAGCTCTGCCCCAGGCTCAGAATCTGTCAAGAGATTCTTTTATTTCTGAGGGTCTGTGTTCCCAGCCTCATACAGAGCAGGGCACCTGGCAGGGCTGAGGGGTTGGTTGATTCAGTGCCCCCTCGAAGTCTTTGGGAAAAGGCCCTGCCATGCCCTGTAATGTGCCAGCGAACACAACTGGCACCCTGCCCAGCACCCATCTACCTCAAGCCCCTGCAGGCCAGGCATCTGCTCAAGCATTCACATTCATTTGCTCAGTGACCTGCTCTGTGCTCATCCTGAGCTTAGCTCTGAGCACCCAAAGGTGAGCTCTCAGGAGCTGTCCCTAAGGGAGCACCCCCTCTTATGCTCCTTCAGGCTCCCCCTCCCTCCTGCCACCCCACAACCTAGCCCATAGGGACCCCAGAAGGGTTGGTTGTACCCACTGCCTTCAGCACAGCCTGGAAGTTGCCCCCAAGCCCTCAGGGCTCCCGCTCTGGGGCCACACACCCCCTCCTGCACAGGCGGAGCCCACCAGACAGCCCCAGGCAAGTGTGGCCCTGAGGAACCTGTGCTTTTCAGCAGCTGCAGGGTCTGGAGCAATTACCAGGAGAAAAGAGGAAGGAAATGAAGAGACTTCAGCAGCCAACCTCCGGGAGCACATTCCAGGCACTCACGAGAATCCTGATTCTGGGGGTCGGGTCCCATGGCCTGCATGCATGTTCTGAGGGGCTGGGCTCCGAGGTCCACTCTGAGGGATTTGCCCACAGACTGGTCACACCCAAACTGTGGCCCCTGTGGGCTGTCTGCCAGCTCCACGGAGTCCTGGCTCCACAGGTACATTTACAGAATCCCACCGTGCCCTGCAGGGACAGGGACACATGAGCACAATGGGGAGGGGGAGGACCAAGGTGCTGGGCCCTGAAGCAGCGGAGGGAGGGGTGAGCAGGGAGTGAGGTCTGTGGGGCAGGGCCTGGCCAGCAGGCAGCCAGGTAGGTAGGGGCAGAGACCAGGCAGCGAGGCAGGTGGAAGATCAAAGGCAAAGACCCAGAGGGGAGACTTTCCCAAGACACCAGAGTCAGGCTTCCCCACCCATTCTTGAGAAGAAGGGGTACAAACTCCAGTTTGATGAGCCCCTACAGCCCCCACTACACAATGGGGAGGGTTTGCTTTTTGGTTGGGAGGGTGCCCCCTTGGAAACAGGCCCAGTTCTGAATTTCCCGCCCACCAGTGACAAGCCTGTGCTCTCAGGAGCACCCCATGCCCAGTCTGTTTCCCCATCTGTATAATGGGGATAGCAAGAGCCCCCACTCCAACTCCAGGACCTCCTGAGCTGGAAAGAGGACGCCCCGTGAAGAGGGTGCTGTGCGTTGCCAGCACACGCAGGCTGCGGGCCTCAAGCTCGAGCGCGCAAACATGTCATCTGGGGGGCCACGAACATGCAGATCTTGGCCCCCCACAGCCAGCTACTCTGGCTCCATCGGCCTGCATTGGGCCCGGGAATCCGCATTGCCAACATACACCCCAGGGGATTCTGAGGGGGCAGCTGAAGCGCCCACGGTGAGAAACACTAACTCAGTCACTACTTGCTGCAACTGTCGCTGCTCTTCCCGTCTACTCTGCCTCCCAGACACCCCACAGTCTGGCCTATTCACCCAGTTCACAGAAGCGGCTCAGGGAGGCACGGCTGCCACCTCAGGGCCCACAGCCAGGACCCGCCAGGGTAGGACCTGAACGGGTCTGCCAACCCGAGCCCACACAGCCCACGCAGGGCACCACGGTCCCCGCCCTGGTCAGCGTTTGTCCTGCAGGACCTGGGTGGGTGTCCCCAGGCCCGGCTGCTACATCCCACCCGCCCCCACTGCTGCTTCCTTCTCCGGCTGCTAATCAGGCCTCGCAGACCATCCCGTTTCCTGTCGGCCCACCGACTGCCTCCTTTGCTCCTGATGGCACTTCCTGGCCGGGTGCCCTCCCATTAGCTCCTTTGCCTCCAGAGGGGCTGGAGCAGGGGCTGCGCAGTGGCAGAAACAGGGCCTGAGACCCTCAGGGGGCCCCAAAGGGCACGAGCCTCCATCCCATGGTCTGGGCCACCTTTCACAACCACTCCAGGCCCCAAGCTCCCTCCCCAGCGCCCAGCGGCCTGGATTGCCACCCCTTGTTTACAGACGACAGGAACAGCGGGCTTCAGGGCGGACTCGCAGTACAAAGGGACAGTGCGGGACAGTGCCCGTCCCTGGCTGCCACCAGAGCCGAGCCAGAGACCCGGCAGGAAGCGATGCCCGAGCCTGCACGTCCCCTGGGCAGGAGACCACAGGACAGTCGATGGGCACAGGCGGTGGGGGGGCATTGGGCTGGGGCACCAGGGCCTGTCCTGGCTCCTCTGGGCCACTCCCCAGCCCAGCCTCCAGCAGGGAAGGCAGAGCTCACGTTGCTGGGAAGGAAACGCTGAGACTTTGTTTGTTCGTTCCACAGAGGGCGCACCAGTGTGCTGCAGCCTGCGCAGGCCCGCCGTGGGGTAGGCTCCCGCCGGCAGGCAGGTCACGCTCCTCGCCCCTCACATGGACTGGCCACTGGGCCACGGCTCTAACCAAACCAAAGCCTCCCCTTTCTTTGCTCCGCTCGCGGCAGGTCCTGGGGCAGTGTGCGCGTCTTCCTCCGTCTCTCCAGCCCCTTGACTGCGCTGGTCTGAGCCTTTCCTGGAAATCTGCTCTGCTCCAAGACCCCAGGCCTCAGCCACCAAGGCTCCCTCCTGGTCCCGCTGGCCAGCCACACCCAGCCCTGCCTGCCTTCCACGGCTCTGCCTCTCCCGATTCTTCTGTCCTCCTGCGCCTCTTCTAACCCTCCACAAATCTCAGCACCTCCCTCCTGGGCGGGCGCCCTTGGGGCATGGGCTCTGCCTCCGACTCCATCCACGCCTGTCTCCCCAGCTCCGAACGCCAACCTAACATTGCCACACAGGTAGGAGCCGACTCAGCGTCAGTGTACGTAAAACAGAGCTTGACCTCCTCTCCCCCAAATAGTCTTCGCCCCTTCTCCCCTCTCCACACTAGTGTCCACTGACTTTCGAGTGGCCCTGGGCCAGGTCCCCTCTCAATCAGGGTCTCGGGGTGCCCAGATATATACTGGGACAAGCTCGGGACTCCCCAACCAACCCGCCATCTGTGCAAGAGAGATCCCCACTGTCTGCCCTGGAGATTCCAAATCAGTTGCTGGGGTGGGCCCAGGATCTGCAGTTTGTACAAGCTCCTCTCTGGACCCTCATGATACCAGAATGTGAGCCCCTCCAGGCCCCGGCCTCCTGCTCCTGCTGGGCGCTGCACCCCGATCCAGCGGGCCTGTCTACCATGAGACTCCGGTGGGAGTGAGGCTACAATCATCCCCATTTTACATACGAGGAAACCGAGGCTCAGGGGGACACAACTGGCCCACAGTCTCACGAGAAGCAGAGCTAAGGCTCCTGACTCTGCTGCTATTTCTAGACCCAACTAACCCCACAAACCCTCCCTGGCACCTTAACACGGGCACCACCCCCAATGCCACCGAGAGGAGGCAATCAGGCCCCGCAGAGCCAAGAGCTGTGGTTTCCCAGCCCCCACATACCACACCCAGTGGCCCCTGGAGCCTCCCCATCACCAGCACAGTCCCACCCCTCCGTCCCCCTCCAGCATGTCACGGGGTCACTTGGGAAAATCTGGCTCTGAGCCCAGGCTGGTGGAGCCTGGATTTCTAGCTCTGCTAAACCCCAGCTGGGCGGACAAGCGCCTGGACCCTGCTGAGCCTCAGTGACATTCACTATGGAGCAGGGGGAGGTAACACCTGCCCTCAGGGTTACAAGGAGGGTGAACCAAGGCCATTGGCGTGCTGGGCTCAGCACCCCAGAGGCCTGGAGTGGGGTCCCAGTGAGCATCCCCGGCTGGCCGAGGCGGCCGCCCACCGCCAGGCCTGCCTATCTGCAGTCAATCCCGCCCTCACAAAGGAACAATAACAGGAAAACATCCCGGGGGGAAGTGGGCCGGGGCCAGCTGGAAAACCTGAAGGGGAGGTGGCCAGGCCTCCCTCAGTGGGCGCGGCGCCCCTAGAGAGGATTCGGCGAGCTCCACAGAGCGCGCAGCTCCCTCGGCCCGGACAGCCGTCCTGACAGAACAGAGTCGTACCTCGTACCTCGGCCACTGGCACGGTGAGTGGAGACCCCCACACCTGGCCCCACCCTCCCAGGGTCATGTGCCCCAATAAGGAGGCCCCTCAGCTGTCCCCATCTGTACAATGGGCCTCAGCGACACTCCTCAGGAGACCGGGTTTCTCCTGCCAGGGCTGGGAGGGCGCCCGGCGGTGGCTGCAGGCACAGTGCGCCTTCTGGGCCGGGGAAGGGGCGAGGGCTTGGCTCTCCACAGGAGCTGCTCCAGCTCTGAGGGACCCCAGGCCGGCTGGCTGCCATCCACGTCAGGCTCAGCAAAGCAGGGTTCTGTCACCCACCCAGCACGGCGGGGCCAGAGGACTGCACCAGGCCGAGGTGCCCCCTCAGCACCGCTTCCCACCTGGGAGGGTTTACCAAAGCCTGGCACCCTCCACTGCCCTCCAAGGCTCTGTGCTGGGTTAGGGAGAGGAGCCGTGGGAGGGGGGCCGTGAGGCCGGGTCCCTCACTGTCGGTCAGTCGGTGCCCATTTTTTCAGAATAGGACACTGAGACCCAGCTCTAGGCCTCTGAGGCCCTGCCTGTGGGAGAGGCAGCCCCTCTCCACTCCGCAGGTGACTACGAGCTGCCACAGACCCTTTCTGTCCCCACATCCAGAGACCCAAATGTCAGAACCTCAAGGGGGCCACATTCTAGGTGAGTCTCCGTAAAAAACGTGACGGTGGCAAGTGTTCTAGGACCCAACTTGGAGACTCATCCTGGGTGCAAGCGCAGCTCTAGGCTCATTTCCCATGTGACTTTGGGGAAATGATTCAACATCTCTGCACCTTGAGGAGCCTGCGGAGGGACTCCTGGCAGGAGGGTCCTGGGAGACAGGCCCTGCCCTCAGGAGCTTGGCTTCCGGCTACAGAGATACTAAAAAGCCTGGCCTGACCCAGAGCCAAGCCGATGTTGGGTGGAGAAATCAAAAAAGGCTTCCTGGAGGAAGCGCAGGAGCCCCCAAGGATGCTGGGAGGTGCTGGGTCTTCTCTCTTGGTAGGCTTGTGGGACAATGGAAATAGTGACTCTCGCTTGCAATTTCTTGTGGAAACTGGAGCTGACGCCACGAAAGCCCTTCAATAACGGAGCTCGCTATTTCACCACTACCCACAGGTCCAGAGCGAGCTAGAGCCTTGCTTTCTTCACTTCTCGGTGGGGCAACTGTGATTTGGAGAAGTGAAGTAAAAGCTGGAACGGGGATCTGAACCAGGTTCTTGTACCCCCAAAACCCAGGCTCTTTCCAGCCTCCCATGGCTGCTCCATGTCTCCTCTGTAAAATGGAGTTTATTCAGGGAGGCGATGGACACACCCGGCACGGACAGTTCACAGCCAGGGGAGCCTCGAGAAACACGGCTGAAATTCCTGCTTCCCGGGAGCTGACCGGGGCTGTGAATGGCATAAGGGTTTTGCAGCCTGGGGCTGGCAGGTCCCCAGCAGGCAGAGGGGTGGAGGGTACAATGGAAACAGGTCAACGCATCTACTCTGAGCCAAATTCTATGCCCATTCCAGGGCCGGTGGGCAGACAGGGAGGGCCCCAGCGGGAGGGGAATTCCAGAGGTGACCGGGAGCTTGAATTCCAGAGGTGACCGGGAGCTTGGACAGCTCGGAGGATTCAAGGAGGTTGGCGTGGCTAGAGGGTTTTTAGAGCAGCGAGTGGCCAGAAGGCGAGTGATGCTGAAGGCCATGAGCCCCCAGGCCAGGAGCTTCATGTTCAGGTCATGGGACTCCCCCACCTCCTGGCCGTTCTAGCCTGAATTCAGTCATTTGTTGGCCTCAGGCTGGAGGGCAGCACAGTCACTGAGCCCCAGGTCACCCTGCCGATTCGGCTTATTGTGGTGAGGGGGTGCAGAGGCACCCACTGGCCTTAAAGGGGTTAAGCTGCCAGCCCTGCCGTCTGGACCTGAGCAGGCAATTGTGCTGCTGAACAAGGGCCGGACATGGGGGCAGGAAGTCAGAGGGGCCATGCTTATTTTCTCCCAAAGCTGGATGACTCACAGCACGGCTGCTGCTTTGGGGACACAAGGTGGATACCATGACCGATAGCTTGGGGAAAATCTTGGGCCTCTTGTTCACGTGGACCTGTCCCTGCTACACCCATCACCTCTCTATCCCACCATCCCCTCCCCTCAAGCAGCCTTGAAACTACTGAAAAAATTCCCATTTGACAGCTGGGACCACTGAGACCTAGGGAGTCGAAGCAGCCGGTCGCAGGCTACATAGTGAGTTTGGAGGGGAGGTCAGCCCTCTGCCCCTCTGCCCCTGCCACACTTCATGGTGAAGATGGGAGAGGGAGGTTGCGGGGATATCCAGAGGATAAACCTGACAGTTCGAGTCACAGAACAGGCACCAGGATAAGCCAAGAGCCCAAACATACAGGGGAAGGACTGTTCTAGGACAGGCCCTGCCCTCGAGAGCTTGGTTTTTCAGCTGGAGAGATACTGAAAAGTCTGTCTATAACCACAAGCCAAGCTCACGTTGGCTGGAGGTATTCCAGAAGGCTTCCTGGAGGAGGAGTAGAAGTCCCCGAGGATTCTGGGAGGTTTAGGTCTGGCCCCTAACTTTCAGTCTTCTCATCACTCTAGGGCCAGGGAGGGACCCAGTGGTCTCTACACCTATTCAGGGACCTTTAGATTCGAGTCACAGTGTCTCGAGTCACAGTGTAACCATAAGGCCTGGCAGGTGCAGATATGGGGAGAAAGGGGAAGTGGCGCCCATAGGCTGGGCCAGGCAGGCAATGAATGAGATTTCCTTCTGGAGAGGAACAGAGGGGAGCAGGAGATGGGCCCAGGGCAGAGCCAGGAAATGAGGTCAGGGGTGAGCTGGTCAGCCAAGCTTAGCCACCAGGCCGGGAGAGGTGGGTAGATGAGGGCCACTGCACTTTCTAACCCCTACTAAGCTCCAGGCTTTGCGCTCACGATCTTATTTAATCCTCCTGACCAGGGAGGCAGATACCATTACAGATGAGGAAGTTGGGGTTCAGACAGGGCAAGGAATACAGCTAAAGCCACATAGCTCATGAATGGCGGGGAGGTTCAAACAGGCAGGTGAGCTGGGTTTGTTCTATTTGCCACACGGGCTGCCCCACTGGCACCCACCGGCTGCCTCAGAACCATAGCCAAGGTCAGGAAGCCAGAGGAGGCTGGAGAAGGCTCCCTAGGGTGGGTATTTTCACCTGGAAGCTGCCCCATGCAAAGACAGGGAAACAGACCAGACGACTGAGGAGCTCAGAGACTCCAGCACAAATTTGTCCCAAATAGCAAGCTAGGTCTGGTGAACCGACAGTGTCCACCTCAGAGATGATACCGAGGATCCAGGGGCTGACTTCAAGCTCAGGGGGAATGAACTCTCTGATGAGTGAGAGCCCGGGGAGGGGAGAGGTGAGTGGCATCCATGAGGTATTTTGCCAACCCTCCCTCCATGGGCACATGTATGGTCATGGGGGTAAGAAGGATCCTCTTGTCCTCAGAGGATCAAAATCCTAATGGCAGCATGACCAGCACCGGGATGTGCCACTGGAGACGCCCTTCAGGAACAGGGAGGAGCTTCTTTGAGTTGTAACCATTGCACCTGCCACGACCACCCAAGGTGTCGTGTGTGCAAATATGCAGATTTGTCTCCAATCCTCTGAGTGAGGGAAGCAGCGACCAGACCAAAACTGAAACTGAAACAGGCTGAGAGGAGGCAGTGGGGCAGCAGGGACACTGACTCCTCAAGGTCTGGGGCCTTGAGTTCATTCACCCAGGGAGCCCAGCAAGGAAAAGCATTCTGGGTGGAGGGAACGGTCTGTGCAAAATGTCTGCCCCAGAGAGGAAGAGCACTGTGCATTCCAGAAACATCGCGTTCGCCCCGCTGCAAAGGCAGAGGGTGGGGGATAGGAGAGCTGGAGGGGCAAGCAGGGGACAGGCTGTGCTGGGCCTTGGCTCAAGAGCAGGGAGGGTGGGGAGCGGAGGGAGAGGTCAGCAGCGGGGCAGCGAGATCAGCTCCAAGGGGAGTTGAGACAAGGAGTCTGGGCCCTCGGGAACCGGTCCTGGGACTGAGGGGAGCCACAAGCCAGAAGGTCCCCTCACCCTTCATCCTCCCAGTCTCTGGAGCTGCCAGGGCCCAGCTAGAAATGCTGCAGCTCACACTGGAGTCCCTGGAGGGGTTTGGGGATCACTGGCTCCAATCTCTGCCTTAAACTAAAGCTCAAGGTGGTGGTTGGGGGGAGGGCAGTGGGGAGAGCAGCCCTGGGCCACACAGGGAGTGGGGCTCCCTGCTCCCCCCTCTGCAGACACACCCCCTGCATGTTCCTCCCACCACCCAGCCCCTAATCCCTGACCCCGGCCTCTGGGCTGGAGGCCAGAGCCTGTGGGAGGCTGGGCCGGGACTGCGTGTCCAGTCCACCCTCTGAGGCTCTGCCTGGGGCTGGGCTTGGCTGCCAGATCTCGTCCTGGCTGAGGGCGGGGGTGCCGGGGGAGCCCTGCTGAGCAGCCTCTTGAGGAGCTCTTGAGGGACACCAGTGTGTCCTTGCGTAGACACAGCTGCGGGCATGTGTCCAGGTGGCCTGAGAACGTCCCGAGTGTACCCCTGACCTGCAGGATTCCTCCACTCCATCCCCAGAAGATCTCTAGCCTGCCCAATGACCCCCAAAGCCCAGACTTCACCTAAGGCTTGGGCGGATCTGGTCAGGCGGAGGAGGGGGTTCTACTAGTGGTCAGAGCAGGACAAGCCCCGCGCACTGGCCAGGCTGCCCTTTGGAGCGCCCCTCAGGCTCCCTGGGGTGCACTCACTGCAAAAGCTGCAGCTCCAGCCCCTCCCTGGCCATCGCTTCTTCTCCCTCTATGTCCCCCTGCCCCTCGTCAACCACAGAGCTGAGAGACCTCACAGCCCCTTCCAGGTCAAACCCCAGAAGCAGCTGGGGGTCACACAGAGAAAGGGACAGAAGGGAGTTTTGCTTGATGACCCACAGGGACCCCAGGACTGAAACATTCACACCAATGCACACCCCACCCAGACTCCAGCCTCCCTCCATGGAGGCACGCACCGCACTGTAACTGGGCTAGCATGTGGTCAGTGTCCATCTCCCCATGGGGCGCTGCCTGTGTCTGCTCCCCACGTGCAGTTCAGTGCTAGGCACCTACTATGTGCTCGATAGATGTTTGCTGAGGGACTACGTGACGCCGGGGCTCGGGACAAGGCTTCAGTATAGGGGTGACAGGTGACAGGTCCAGGCAGAGGAGGGAGCAGGCAAGTGTGGCCAAGCCTGGTGGGCCTCAGGGTCCTGCAGGCTGGGGCTACTCACGCGGCACACCCCACTAGGCAAGGGAAGAGGAATGCAGAGGCTCGGACCCACCCGCCCTGTCCTCAGGCCACCCTCTGGCCCAGCCTTTGGAGACACCCCTCTGTCCTCAGAGCCCATCCATCCCCCAGATTCTCCGAGCCCCCTGCCCCTTCTCTTGGGTTCCAGGCCTGCTCATCAGGGGTTTGGGGTCACACTGTGTCCTGCCATTTAGGGGCACCGAGACCTTCCCAGGCTAGCCACAGACACAGAGCTCTGGTCCTCGAGCCCGTCTGGAGCTGCCCTCGCCGCTGAGACTCTGACGCGCTCGGGGGACGGGGCGCTGTCCAGACCAGGGAAGGCAGGGACACAGGCAGGCCGGTGGCTTCTAGTGCACACGGGAGCCGCCAAGTAGACCCTCTCCACTCCCAGCCACCGTCACACAAGCCTCAGGGCTGCCCAGAGGGGAACTTCTGAGCTTGGAAATCACCTGCAAAATCCTCTGGCCCTCGGCAGCCTGTGCTACCCCAGATCCACCCCAGCAGCAGCCCGCGGCGCTCCAAAAACTTAGTGAGAGCAACCGCCAGAGACAGAGAAAAGATGAGGAGCCAAAGCAAGTCTGACCTCAGCCGGGGCGGAGCACACTTCCAGAGGGGCGGCCCAGGGGAATTCCAGCCGGGCAGCGCCAACGCTGCGCCACTTCCTCCCGTGGGGGGCGGCGGGGGCCTGACTGTCCCTCTACACAACCCTGCCCCACGCCCCATTTTGATGGCCAACTTCCCAATACAAAGGGGGAAAGATACCTAAGAAACGGCTTCTCGGGTGGACAGGTCCTCAGGCCCCTGGGATTAGGTGCTGAAGGATTTAGAAAAAGACAGATCTGGGTGAGGGGTCCAGACCCACCACTTAGGAGCTGGTTGCCTGCGAGCCTCCGTTTTTCCCTCTGTGCAGTGGGGGGGATAATTCCTACATGGGGTTACCGACGACCCCCTCGTGGGTGGAAAGGGCTGAAAGAGTTAACAGTTGGTCTGGAGGATGCCCGAGGGGCGTGTCCGAGGAACTCCAAGGAGCTTCTCTGTACATTCAGGGAACAGCTGGCTTGCGGGGCTACCCAGGTTCTGGGGACATCTCGGGGTAGGGGGCTGTCACTCAGCCCCCACTCTGGCCTGCTCACCTCTTCATGCTCCTCCCATATACACTGCTCATTTCTACCCAGCCCAGAGGGTTTCTTCTGGTTCTTCAAACACACCAATCATTTTTCAACCTCAGGGCCTTTGCACTTGCTAGTCCTTCTGCTTGGAATTCCCTCCCTCCCCTGGCATGTCTAGGGCTGACACTCTGGCGTTGGCGTCTCTCAGAGAGAGGACGCCTCTGGCCTCGCAGGCTCACTGTGCTACAGCCTCACTGCAATCTCCTGAGGGTTTCTGATCACTGCTGCTGTTTGTCCTTTTGTGCTTACTTCCTGGGGTCCCGCCACAGCGGGTAGGCTCTGCTCCCCGCCCTGGCCATGAAGCCCGGCACGAGTAGGGGCTCCCACTGTCAGCTCAGTGCTCGGGGGCTCCCACTCTGTCCTGGCACCTGAAAACTCTCCCTTCTGTTTATTTTGTTTATTTCACTTTTTCTGTTGGTTTTACGTTTTCATTTTGGAGTCCCACCTCACTTGAGGAAGGAAGAAAGAACCGAGATTTCCAGTTCCTTTCTAGGCAAAGGAGGAAATGACCCACCGGGGCTGGGCCCAGCGAGGCTGGGGCAGGGGTCACAGCTGCCAAGTCCCCTGCGTCAGGACCAGCCTCCCCAGCCTTTGTTCCAGGCCTTCCTCCTGGAGCAGCTGCCCTTGCCACGTCTTACCTCAAGGGGCAGCAAGTTCCTTCCCCCGCCACCTCGCTTAGCGCTGAGGAAACTGAGACCCGGGCCTCCCCAGGGGCACTAAGCACTGCCTTGCGCCTGCTCCAGCCTCTGTGGCACCCCAACCCTGGGAGTGCACTTCCTTCTGGGCCCGCTGGCGTCAGTGTCTCAGGGGAAATGTTACTAGAGTTTAGAAACCTCCCGTGGTGTGCAGAGTGCTGCCTCTCCTCCGCCGGGGCTGGAGGCCGCCAGGAAGCTCCTGTCCAGCACCCAAGGAGACCTTGTCCCTCCAGGGAGATTCCTCCCTGATCCCCACTGCCACGCACCCGCCTGCTCCTGCTGAGCCCTCCCGGGAGTGGCAGGTCAGTGACACAGGGGCCAGTGCGGGTGGGCTGGCAGGTCAGGGCTGACCGTGACGGTCAGGGTCATGGCCTCCACCTGCCACGGGGCAGTGGGGAAAATCTCTCTGAAACTCAGGATAAAGGCAGGTCCCACTTTTCTGGTGACCCCAGACTGACAGACCCCACATCCCGAGGCAGTCTTCACAGGCCTGGCACGCACACCACCACCAGGGGCCTGAGACCAGTGTAATGTTCGCCTGTCTCCGTCTGGATCATTTTTGAACACAGGGTCCCGCATTTTCGTTTTCCACTGAGCCTCACAAAATATGAAGGCAGCCTCCCAGCCCCCACCCGGCCCTGTGACGCCCCTAAGCTGATGGCCATCTGTGAGTGTGGGGCGAGGGCCCACCCCTGGGTTAAGGTATTTGCATTTCCTAAGAGCTTCTGCGGGCAGGGCGGGAGCCTGGAGCCTGCTGGTGGGGCTCAGGGACTGATCTGTTGAATCCGGCCCCATAGCAGCTGCTGGCATGAGGAAGGCCGCCGAGAAAAGCATGCGCTTTTGGGCCGGACAGATGGGTTTGAACCCTGGCTCTGTGGCTTCCAGCCTGGGTGACCTCAGGGATGGTACCAAGACCTCCCTGTAGCTCAGGTCATCTGCAGGGTTATAAAGATCTCACCTGGAGGGCTATTGGGAAGATTAAGTAAGACATCAGAGAAGGTGCTCGAACAGTGTCAGACAAATAAGCAGCCTGGGGTAACCGTCAGGAATCTGCTGTTGCGGCCAGATTTCTGGGTTGCATCCTCGCCCCACATGCCCCCATGTGAGCATAACAGCCCTGGGACTTAGTTTCCTCACGTGTAAAATGAGGGTAGCTGGGTGCCCGCTGCACGGGCTTTGGGCTTGGAGGGCAGCATCAGCATCACCCCCTCCCTCAGGAACCCCCTTTGCAGGATCCCTGTCCCCTGTGCTCGCTGCCCCCAAAAGGGTCTGGTTCTGCGGGCATCAGCAGAGGGCGAAGGGCGAGAGTGTGAGCAGAGGAGGGAGTGACGCCCCTGCCGGGCCGTGTGTCTCCCTTCCTCAGGTCTGTGCCTCTGGAAGATGCAGATGCTCGTGATGCTGCTGGCTGCGGCGGGCACCTGCCTGGACCTGCTGGGGGCAGCGATGGGAGGTGCCCGTCCTGCCCAACTGGCCCCTCCCGGCATGCAGCCCGCCCACCAGCGCCAGAAGAGAGACTGGATTTGGAACCAGCTGTACATTGATGAGGAGATAAACAGTTCACTGCCCCACTACGTGGGCAAGGTAAGCTTCAGGCCCAGCGCGGGCGAGGCCTCGGGGCAGGGGACACGCGGCGGCGGTGACACTGGCGACAGAGGCTGTGAGGGCCGCGGGGCCGGGGGCCCGGCTGTGAGGACACAACAGAGACGGAGATGGTGCAGGTGGGAGATGTGGGGGGGAAGGTGCTGCGTGATGGAGGTGGGGTTGTCATGACGATGCAGAAGCTGGCGGTGGCCGTGATAATGACAAGGTGGCCATGTTGGTGGTGAAGGCGGTGAGGCCTGGCAGCCGCGGTGGTGGCGGTCACGCTGGCAGTGAAGTGACGGTGGCGACGGTGATGTCGGGGGTAGCGATGACGGGGAAGGGTAGGGAGGTGATGGTGAGTGATACTGGCGAGAGCGACAGGGAAGGGGAGGAAGGTGGTGGTGGGTGACGGGCAGTGACAGGGCAGTGACGGATGGCGGAAGTGACGGGGAGGCTCTAAGGTTCATTTCTGCCAGGCCTTGTCTGTGGCTAAATGTCACTGGCCAAAGGGCCACCTGGCGCACAGGCTGAAGAGGGCAGCCTGGCGGGTCAGGGAACAAGGCAGAACCAGTCAAGGCTGCCATTAGTTCTTCCTAGCGGAGAACCCCTGTGATGCCCAAGCAGCCTTCTGCAGGATGCGCCGGTGACAAAGCTGGCCACCCTGGCCGTGCATTGACAGCCCTGGCCAAAGCATCCCCCAAAAGCCTTTCTCTTAGGCGGCCCCCCATTTCCTGTCACCCCACACCACTCCCAGAGTGGAGGAGGCCCATAGCAAGGTGCCTGACCCAAGTCTGTCCTCCGTGGGGTCCAGCTCTCCAATCCTCGCTTCACCCCCCAAATGTGTCCCTCCCTCACTGCCCTCCTGGAGCGGGAGCTAATCTGGGGGATCACCAGCTGTTTCACTGTATCAAAGTGATGTTGCTGCCCAAACCCCACCTTCTGATCCAAATGAAGGGCTCTAGAGACGGAATTTCACACAGGACAATGGGTAGATGGACGGGGTATTTTGAGTTTTCAGGGGGTAGCAAAATTTCTTTCAAGTGTGTCAAAATCTCTCCATGTCCACTCCTGGCCTCCTCACGTGGTCAGCTACGAGGCAGACTCGGTCGCTGTGCTGGTGAGCAGACACGCCGCACCGGGCTGGCGGCTAAGATCTGGGAGGGTGGCGACGGGCAGAGACAGCCTCGGTTCCCGCCCTCGTGGGGCTGGCGGCCGCTCGCCCACCAGGCTTTGTGAAATAAAGTTTTATCAGAACAGAGCCACGCCTGGGGCCTGCAGGTCGCCGCGGCTGCTTTCGCGCCATACTGGCAGAGCCGTGGTGCCGTGCCAAAGACCGCATGGCCCGCAAAGTGCCCACTGCCTGGCCCTTTGTGGGCGGGTCCTCTGAGCTGGTCTAGAGGGGACGCATACATCAGATAAAGAACCCCACAAATGATAGTGACGGGGGAGACCTGTGGTCATGGAGAAACAGGGCTGGAGGGGGCTCTTTGATGGGGGAGGTTGTCGTCTGGCCTGGGCTCCAGAAGTGCCCCAGCAGCTGGGTGTGCCCACTGGGGAGTGTCCATTCACAGCCCCTTCCACAGCCAGCTCACAAGGTGCCCGTGGCTCCTCTGGCTCCCAAGAACAGATGGGAAATGTAAATCCATCTGCGTGGCCTTTCGGAGGGGAAAACATGCGATCAGGGGCACACAGCGAGAGCAGGACAGCCATAGGAGAACCGAGTCCTGGCCCGGCGGAGGGCTGCCGCCTGCCCACACGAACGTGGGCTCTGTGTCACAGTGGAAAATGTGGTCGACCCACGTCTTTCCCGATGGGGTGCTCATGCCATGAGTCAACCTCTAAAGAGAATGGCTGGCCCCAGGGGAGAGCTGAGTCAGGGAGAATCAGGGGGAGTGAGCAGAACGTGGGGACCACCTCTATCACGCAGCCCTGACAGAGCAACCTCGGAGGCACGCCCGAGGCCTCAAAAGCAGGAAGAGCGTCAGCCCTGCTGTCATCTGCAGGCCAGTGGCATGTGGCCAAGAGACAGTCACATGCAGGCCCCTCCCTGAAAGAAACGAGGGTGCTGGAGAGGCAAGGGTCTTGGGGAGCACCTTCTGGCTCCCAAAGATGTAATCTGAGGGAAGGAAGTCCCTGTTTACCACGGGCAGAGTCTGGAGCCCGTGTTTACAGATCTGATGGACAATGGGAGAGGGCCTGAGCGGCCTTCCCAGCCCACGAGTATGGGTCCGCGTGGCTTTTGGCATTAAGACATTCACCAAATATAGTGATAATTAAAAAAAAAAGGTGAGCGTCCCCCCAAAAAAACCACCATCCCCTTAGACGCTCAGTCTGTCTAAGGATGAGAAAAGCAGCAGAATAGTCCAAGAGAAGGGCGTCCTACAAATACCTGCCCAGGATCCGTCAGAACTGTCAAGGCCACACGAACAAGGAAGTCTGAGAACGGGTCCGGCCGCGAGGAGCTTAGACACGAGACAAGGAGGTGGGTGTCTTGTCCTGGGTGCAGCCCCAGCCAAGAAAGGACAGTCGGTAAGAAACCAGGGAGTCTGCACGAACTGGACCTGTGCAGAGCAACAGCAACCTTGGTCCACGGGGGCACCGCGCCGGGCAAGTCACATTTAGGATCCTTGGTCGACCCCTTGCATCCACACACCCGTGCACAAACACACACGCAGGTGCACAGGTAACTAGGCACCCACACTGGCTCAGCTGCCCACACCCGGCTCACCGTGCCTCTTCCGTCCAGGTCAAATCCAGCCTGAACCACAAGAACGCCAAGTACCTGCTCAGGGGAGACTACGCCGACAAGGTCTTCAGGGTCGAAGGGGACACGGGGTTTGTGTTTGCCCATGAGAGGCTGGACCGGGAGAAAATCTCCGAGTACCACCTCACCGCCCTCGTGGTGGACAAGGACACCAACAAGGACCTGGAATCGCCTTCCAGCTTTACCGTCAAAGTGCACGACATCAACGACAACTGGCCCGTGTTCCCGCGCCGGCTGTTCAATGCGTCTGTGCCAGAGATGTCGAATACGGGTACGGCCCAGTCTGTACCCCTCTACCCCTCACCCCAGCCTGGGGCACCTCTCCCAGCAGTGAGCTACTGCCCAGGGTTAGGAGTCGGTGAGCTCAGGACCGTGGTTATCATGTCCTTATTGCCACTTTCATGACATGGGAAACACTCCAGTTTCTAAAGAATAAGGCCCCACCCTGATGGCAGACTGTGCCCCGACCCTCATCACAGACTGAGCCCCGACCCTGATCACAAACTGAGCCCCACCCTGATCGCAGACTGAGACCCCACCCTGATCCCATCCTGAGCCCCCACCCTGATCCCAGCCTGAGCGCCCACATGATTGTAAACTGAGTACTTACCCTATAATGGCTGAGCCCTAATCACTAGAGAGGTACACGAACTAGCGCCCTCACCCCAAGGTGCATCGCCAGCCTGCACCTCAGGCCTACAACTCACCACTCTTTCCCCAATTCTCCCCCAGCCTCCAGGAAATGCCAGACGGGCATTCTCTTCTTCAGCCCCTCTGTCCAGGGTCCCTGGCCAGGACCAGGACCCTGGGGTCAGAACTTCCCGTTAAGTGTGGGCCCTGCTCCTGGAACTCAAGGGGAAAGAGATGCAACGCCCAGTCGTGGGCACCGTCCCGGTCCTCCAGGAAGAAGCAGGCCCCTTCCTCTCCTCAGGGTCTCCTCATGCCCCGAACCATGCACCCCAGCCCCAGCTCCCCCCTAAATGCAAACTCTGTGTTCGCTTCAGAGCTGACAGGTCTCGGCCTCCATGGCTGCCAGCCCTTTGTCCCCACGCAGGATCCTGAGGAAACAAAACAGCCTTCTCTCCCTCGGGGCCTGGGGGAGGCGGGGGGCAGCCTGAGCCCCCACCAGCCCTCATCTGGGAATGGGCTCAGGGGCAGCAGCCTTGGCTTCTCTCTCCTCAGGGACCTCGGTCATACAGGTGACAGCAACGGACGCCGACGACCCCACTGTCGCAGGCCACGCCTCTGTCATATACCAACTCCTGAAGGGACAGGAACATTTCAAGATCGATAATACCGGTCTGTGTGACTATTCCCTGGTTGGCCCTGGCTGGGGGGTGGCGGGAACTCTGGGTGCAGGTACTGAGGGGAGTCCAGCAGGCATTGCCGGTGCAGGTGGCAGGTACCACGAGTTCAGACGAAGTGGTGCTGAGGGCAGAAGGAAGAATACAGGTGCCATGACATGGACTCCAGTCCAGGCAGGGACACAAGAGGTGGACTAAAAGGCTGGGGAGGGCCTCCCTGGTGGCCTAGGCAGAGCTCTCACCGTGAAGGCTTGAGTTCGATCCCAGGTCAGGGAGCTACCCACATGGCGCAGCAGACCTCTCCTGTCTGCCCACTGCTCCCCTCAGCAGTGTGTTTCAGTCAGTCTGCCTGTGCTGCTCCCCACTCTGTCTCTGGTGAATCCTCTCACCCTCACTGCCCCCAGCACCCACACCTCTGGCCTACACCCCAGTTCTTCTATGAAAAAATAAATTAAAAAAATAATAATTTTTAAAAAAAGAAGGCTGGTGAGCCTCTCTGCATGGGCTCATACAGGTCTCCCTGCCCAGCTCTGCGGCCTCAGGCCTCTAAAGACCTTAGGCAAGTCAGCGAACCAGGTGAGGTTTGTTCTCTTGGCCTGAGCATGGGAAGCTGATATCCACCTCGTGCAGGAGCTATGGAGGCAGAAGGAGGTGAGATAGAAAGAGAACACGGTTCACGCTAATTATCCACTATTGTGACTTTAAAAACTATGAGGACTGTGCTCGCTTCGGCAGCACATATACTAAAAAAACTATGAGGACTGAGTCTTGGAATCAGAACAGAAATTCAGGCTGGGGCACAGTCTTCCGGAGAGACGACCGGGGGCTGTAGTGGAGCATTTGACGGCGGAGAGATGGCAAATACACCAGACACCTCCACCGCGATGGTGCCCCAAGGCAGACATCTCAGCTCCACCCCAGGACCCTCCCCTCTGAGCCCGGACGTGACTTCTGGCTCCTTCTCAGCACAGCGCTAGCACCGATACTGGGCTGTGCTGCTGAGGCGGCTTTAACCTGACGGCCTGGAGGTGGAGAGCGGCTGACCATGGTGCTCAGCTCAGGCGGCACAGGCCTGGAGAGTTTTTAAAGTCAGGGGTTCTCTGCGGGGGTGGGGGGGGGCACCAATACTTTCTGAAAGCTCCCAGGGGACACGGCTCCTGAGCGGACACTTTCTGCAGGACTCATTGTCACGATGACCAGTGACTTGGACCGAGAGACGAAGGCCAGCTACGAGGTCGTGGTGGAAGCCCGGGACGGCAAAGGTCTCCGGGGGGAGTCGGGCACGGCCACCGTGCTGGTCACCCTGCAGGACGTCAACGACAACGTCCCCTTCTTCGCCCAGCGTGAGTCCCCCACTCCCCTGGTCCTGAGGAGGGCAAGTGTTGGGATATCTGGACCCAGTGGCCGGGGGGTTCTGGGGTGGAGCCTGGTGTCCCTGACCCTCTCCCCCACCCCAGGGAGGGACTCAGGCCCAGGGGAGCCTTTCTGATACGGGGAGACTTTCCCTGCACACGTTCCCAAGTTGTCCAAATGCCCCGGACACCGCCCCCTGCCAGGCCACAGGGAAACCACGCTCCCTGCTGTGTGCCCCCGCTGTGCCCTGGGTGCTACCACCAGACAGGGGCAGCCCAGCCCCAGTGAGAAAATCCACACAGGCTGGTGAGCAGAGGAATCACAGGGCTCCAGAGTGAGAGCAGGGGCTGGGCCTGGCCACAGTGCAAACATGGTCTGATGAGACCTGGCTGGGGCGGGAGAGGAAAGCTAGAGGGCTCACCACTTGCACCCCCATGGCTGAGGCGTGATTCAGAAGCTCAGGCCCTCAAGGACAGGCTGATTGTCCTGAAGGGACCTCAGTGTCTCCCTTGCCAATTGATAGACCCCCTGGCAAAGTGCATGGACCCCTGGCAGGTGCTGCTGTTTGGAAGGACAGAGGGTTGAAGGACATTAATGCAGAACTTCTTTGGGTACCCAAACTTTCAGGGGTACCCAAAATTTCAGGGGCAGGATTATGACTATGATTATGGAGCCCATTTCCTGCATCAAAATGTCTGAGGGAAGTGCAAGGGCCCATTGCCTTGTCTATCTCAATAACCCGGTGCCTCTTGGGTACCCCTTTTGCATCAGCCAAGTACACATTTTCGGTGCCTGAAGACATCCGGGTCAACAATCCTCTGGGCTCGTTGTTTGTTGAGGACCCAGATGAGCCCCAGAACCGGAAGACCAAGTATAGCATCGTGCAGGGCGAGTACAGGGACACCTTCTCCATTGAGACAGACCCCGTCCACAACGAGGGCATCATCAAGCCCAAAAAGGTTGGTCGGCCTTTGGCAACACATCAGAAGGGTGGGGTGGTATTCTGGGGACCCCAGTGCTCACCCAGGGGCTGCTCCCAGGTCAAAGGCTATCAAAGCTGACAATGGGTCAGTTTAGAGCTGACCATGTGCTGGGGCGCCCCATCCCACTGGGGACCTCTGGGGGACCATGTGGAAGCAGCCTGAGTTGCAGCAGGCAAGCATGAGGGCGCGGGGGGCTGACTGGGGGCTGTTCCCACGTCTTTTGCTCCCGGGCACTTTCCGGCCTGCCCTGAGCACCAGCCAGCAGAATGGTGCAGACCTCACAGCAGAAAGCCATGAGCTCATCAGGAGACCTGAGTATGGGGGATGGCATGGGCAGAGCCACAGCTGGCAGAGGCATCGGAGCCACAGAAACTGGAAGAGGGAGAGGTGTGCCAGGAGCACTGTGAGGCCTGGGCCAGGGATGGCCCACAACAAGGGGGGCCCTCGTGAACGGCTCTGCCCAGCCAGGGGGCCTCTCCTGAGTACACCTCTGGCCCAGCCCTGCACGGGCACTGCAGACACCTGGGGCACGAGATGCCATCAAGGTACCAAAGCTCTCAGCAAGTGGGGAGGCGGAGACAAAGGCGGAAACTGGGTGTCAGTGGCAGAGCGGCCCGTTCAGGGAGCAATTACCTGATGAGGGTGCCGGGAGAGACTGAGAGGGTATCTCATTCCCTTTGGACTGGCTTCTGGAGGGGTGAGTAAGGCTGTGCTCAGCAGGCGCACCAGGAGGAGCATCTGGAGTGAAGACGCAGGGAGAGTAAGGAGCTCTGGACAGAACCACTAGCCAGGGGCTCCCCGAGAGCAAGACGAGGGCTAAACCATACTAGTACTCAACACCCGGAACAGGGCCAGGGGAGAGTGTGCCCCCAAGGCTCAGAGATGAAATGGGGCGGGGGCAGGGCCAGGAGGGAGGTGGGGTGGCGGGAGACCGCTGGAAGCAGCCAGCCAGCTCCAGCCGCTTTCGTAATAGAAGTGACTCCCCAACTTCCCATGGTCAGGCTCCCCCATCTGCACAGCTGGTGCCACCCAGCACCCACCTGCAGGGCGGATGTCACCGTCACCCTTCCCCCTCCGCAGCCCCTGGACTTTGAGCGCATCCAACAATACAGCTTCACCATCGAGGCCACAGACCCGACCATCGACACCCGCTACAGGAACCCCAACCCCACCAGAAACATGGCCCGTGTCATCATCAACGTCACAGATGTGGACGAGCCCCCCAACTTCCAGAAGCCCTTCTACCACTTCCAGCTGCGGGAGAACCAGAAGAAACCTCTGATCGGTTCCGTGCTGGCCACTGACCCCGACGCTGCGCGGCGAAGCATCGGGTAAGGAAGGGGGTGGTGGTTTGGGGGGAGGTGCTGACCCAGACAACTCGGGCCCTGGGGCGCTACTGCCCGCTGAGACCAGGCGTGGGGGGAGCTTGCGCGGGAAGAGGCGGAACTAGAAGCCCGAGCTCTTCCACTAACCCCTGAGGCCCACAGGGGTCTCGTCCTGCGCCAGCGCCCCACCTCGCACCGCCCGGGCCTGCCATCTGCGCTGTCTTCTAGGAAGGTTCTTGGGCCCCAGCACCCACCGGTCCCACCCAGGGAGATCGGATGGTCACCAGGGCAGCCGACTGGATGACACGCGTGAGCCTTTCACTCACCATGTCTCAGAAAATGCACCTTCCCAAAACACAAAAGGAAAAAGTGTTCACCTCGCACAGTGAAACAACACACAGACCCGCAAAACATGGGGTGTGCCCCTTCCCTGACCCTTGTGTGTACGGCCGGATGGGGTCCTGTCATGTCATAACCACCAGGCACCTAGATACATTCACGGGTGGGGGACTTTGATTGTTTTTGACATTTCGTCACTATTGGCTTTTTTAAATCTACATATATATATATATTTATATCATTTTTCTTTTTTTTTAATTTTATTTTTATATTCCCCATACCATTGCAACCCCCTTATTTTGACCCCAATCCCTCCCCGCCCCGCCCTCCACCCCCCCTAGAGTGTCTCTGGTTCATAGTTGTTTGTTGATTTTGATAATTTCTTTCTTATAGTTCTTCTTTTTCCTGGTCCCTTATTTAAGTTTTCTAGATTCCTGCTATGAGTGAGACCATCCGGTATCATTTTTCATTTTTGTAGAATGTTTGATTCTCCTCTCAGGTGTAGTCCCCATAAAATTCCCACCATCAAGTCACCCATGAATTGTCACCATGGTCTCTTGTGCTCTTCCTGCCCCTGTTTTAATCCCTCTCTCTCCCTCCCCTGCTGAATAGCTCTGATTCATAGTCGCCTGCTAGTTTTGTCTTTGTTTTTTTCCTGATCCCTTGTTTGCTTCCCCTATTCCTCATATAAGTGAAAGCATGTGATATTTTTCTTTTTCTATCTGGCTTATTTCACTGGGCATAATCCCTTCCAGGTCTATCCATGTTGCTGCAAATGGCATGAGTTTATCTTTTTTGATTGCTGAGTAATATTCCATAGTGTATATAAACCATATCTTCTTATAAACCAAACCAGTCATTTGTTTTGGGCATTTGGGTTATTTCTATATCTTAAATATTGTAAATAGTGCTCCAATAAACATAGAAGCACAGGTTTCCTTTTGGATTAATGTTTTTGTGTCCTTTGTGTAGATTCCTAGGAAGGGAATCACTGGGTCATATGGTAGTTCCATTTTTAGTAATTTCAGGGTCCTCCACATGGCTTTCCATAGCGGCTGGACCAGCTGCATTTCCATCAACCGTGTAAGAGGGTTCCTTTTTCTCCACATCGCCACTAGCATTTGTTGTTGCCAGTGCTGTGTGAAAAAATGCTCAATATCACTTGTAATCAGGGAAATGCAAATCAAACCGCTATGAGATACCATGTCACACCAGTGAGAATGGCCCAAACTATTGGCTCTTAATCAAATCGCCTCCTCTACCCTCTGGGATAAAAGATACAGTCCTACCTCTTACTTTCTCCAGATACAAAGCGCTTTTTTTTAGTGGTACCAGTGACATGCATTATACTGGTTGCAGGTATGTGACCAGGTTCTACTTCCCGGGAAGTGTGGCTCTGACGCCATCTCGCTGCACTCCAGAGGGGAAGCCAGGCAGGCCAGCACTGTTTATTAAATACGTCAGTATTTTCCCACCTTTGTTTCCCACCTTAGAGAAAGTAACTCTCCCAAACTGGACATTAAACACAATTCTTATTAGAATTTGAAATTTTTTGGGAAAACTTTTGAAATTTTTTTTTTTTAACTTCCTTCATACTTGAATCTATTTCAGAACGCTCTAGGCTACCTATTGTGCTGAGGCGCAGCCACCGTTTCGTTAACAGTTTTATACTAACACTTAATATTTATAAGGCATGTTCTCTCCCTCACTGCTTTTCATATTTTATATAATTTTCATGCATTCTCATTTGTTTTTTCATACAAACTTTTGAAACTCTTTTATTCAGTTTTCAAAAAAAATTTCAAATTCTAATAAGAAGTGTGTTTAATGTCCAGTTTGGGAGAGTTACTGTCTCTAAGAGCAAAATCCATCCCTCCATTTTGACCATATATAACTTTTGGGATGACTGTTTTCATGACCTCTCTATTCCAAATAGTCTATAATGATAATTTTTTTAAAGATTTATTTATTTATGCATACAAGAGCTGGGGTACAGGCCAGAGATGCGGGCGTGGGGAGAGATGAGCGGATCCACCAGAGACAGAGAGGGGAGCAGAGCAAGCAGACTGACTGAAAGACACTGCTGAGGGGAGCAGCGGGTGAGACAGGAGAGGTCTGCCTCGCCATGTGGGTTTCTCCCTGGCTGGCCGGGGATCAAACTCATGCTGCAGAGGCTGTGGATTGCTTCGTAGTGTGGTGCTTAATCCCTTACGCCACCAGGGAGGCCCCTAACCTTTATTTTTAACTTTCCTAAGTTACTTTGGCATGGTTGTATCTTGAGAACAGAACGCGTTGGTTCTGCTTTTTAATCCCAACTGAGATGCTTTGTGTTTAACCTATTTATATTTTGCATCATAAATGACACGTTTGTTCTTATTTCTTATAGCTTGTTCACTATTTCCCACTAGTCAAAGTGAATGGCTTTTTATCTTTTCCCCCATCTTTGCTACAGAGTCTATTTTTTTCCCCCACGTAGATATTTAGAATCTATTCATTTTTACTTCTACCAGTGAAATTTACTTCTATCTGTAAAATTTTAAATGTTTTCCTGGACTTATATTTCCTAGTTAAAAATAGTATACACACCATTGCTTTCCTATATGTGATAAAGAATTGCTTTCATTTTAATTTCTTCCAAGGTAGGTTTTTACTTTATATGGAGACATTTCTAATTAAATGAAATATGTTTTCAAAAAAATTATTCAGGACCCATCTTGCGGGTGATACACTTCCTGAGTTCTTGCACATTTATAAATACTTAGTTCCTTTGCTCTCTTATGTTAAAAACAGCTGGGTGTGCTCATATAATCCTCAGATTATAGATACTTCCCTTTAAAAATACTATCAGTTTATACTGGTATTTAAATTTGTGAGGCTGTCTGGGGTGAATCTGATCTCTCTTCAGTAGGAGCTTGGTTTGGGTTTTTTTTTCCTGTCTGAACTCTTTTCTGTTACTTCATACAGACTTGAAATTCAACAGTGTCATCAGGATATAGCTAAATACTGATCTCTTTTTAAAAAGAGATGCCTGACATCCACGGTCTCTTTTAGTCTGTAGATTTGAGACTTTCTTCAGGTCAGGCAAATTTTCTTTTGTTATCTCTTGTTTCTTCTGTTCTATTTGTTCTAGAATTTTCCTCAACAAATTTTGCTCAAAAAAAATTTACCTCACAAATTTAATTTTATTTCAAATCACTTCTTATCTCTTTCAGCACTTTCTTTTATTTATTTTTAAATAGATTTATTTATTTATGTATTATAAGAGCTGGGGTGCAGGCCAGAGATGTGGGGGTGAGAGGATTCACCAGAGACAGAGTAGGGAGCAGAACAGGCAGATCTACTGAAATACACTGCTGAGGGGAGCAGGGGGCGAGACAGGAGAGGTCTGCTGCACCATGGGAGTCAGCTCCCTGGCCAGCTGGGAATCAAACTCATGCTGCAGTGGCTGTGGATAGCTTCAAAGTGTTGACACTTACACCACCAGGGAGGCCCATATCTCCTTTTAATTGTCATTATTTCTTCCTGGCACTTGCCCATCTTATCTTTTCATTAGTCACAAAAACCAGTCCCATCTGAAAGTGCAACTCTGAAAGTGCAGCTGGTGGTGTCTCTGACACCTCCTTCAGCCAGTGAGGGCAACATTGCTAAGACCAAAGGGGTTACTGGCCACTGTGAATCCCTCTGGTTGCATCGAGCAGTCAGAAGACAAGGGGCAGGGGGTGGGGGGTGAGGGAGATATAGGAAACTATTTGGTCTCAGCAAAGAACCATGGGAAACCACAACTCTCTCTCCCCTGGGCAGATACGCCATCCGTAGGACCAGTGACAAGGGCTACTTCTTCGGCATAACCAAGCAAGGGAACATTTACAACGAGAAGGAACTGGACAGAGAGCTCTACCCCTGGTACAACCTGACTGTGGAGGCCAAAGAACTGGATTCTCGCGGTGAGTGGCCCGATCTCCAGCAGAACTGGGCTCTTCTCTATTCCCTCTGTCTTTCAGATTGGCATGATCTGTCCTTTCTGGCCTCTGGGGGTATTTAAGCCCCTGGAGGTATATCGAAGCACCACTTGGCAGGGATGCTTAAGAGCCTCCAGCCCCAGCTTAAGGCTGGGCCAGCACCAGTCGCATCCCCAGAGCCCTTGTCAACTACAGGGTGTTGCAACCCAGGCTGAATCGGAGTCACAGGCACATGACAAAGAGGCACTGTTATAAAACAGGCTGTCAGGCCTCCCTGGTGGCACAGGGGGTTAAGCACAGCACTATGAAGCTATCCGCAGCCTCTGCAGCGTGAGTTCGATCCCCAGCTAGGGAGATACCCACATGGCGCAGCAGACCTCTCCTGTCTCCCTGCTGCTCCCCTCAGCAGTGTATTTCAGAATATCTGTGTATTCTGCTCCCTGCTCTGTCTCTGGTGAATCCTCTCACCCCCTCTCCCCGCACCTCTGGCCTGCACCTCCTGGATGCATAAATAAATCTAAAAAAAAAACACAGGCTGTCATATGCCCCTATGACAAGAATTACCTAAGGTATCTCTTAAACACAGCCCTTCTCAGGCCCCGCCCCTCAGGGTCCGGCTCAGGGAGCCAGACTCGAAGTCAAGGAGTGTGCTCTGAGTAGGTGCTGTGTGATGCTCGTTACCATGGACACGTGGAGAAGGCTGGTTTGGGAAGGGTGTGAGGATGATGATCCAGTCAGAGGATTGAATTCAAAATCTGAAACAGCTTCTACCTCCAAGACATTTAGATTCTCCAGAAATTAGTGCAACCATTGCCAGAGTGAAACATAAGTATTGAGAGGTTTGCATCTTTACCTGTAGGAGAAAATGCCAAGTGCGCACCAGGAGACCACCGAGACAGAGGGAAAGGCGTTGTTGGAGGGGTGGGCAGGCCGAGGGACTGAGCCAAGATCCCAGGTTGATGGTCCCCGCTGGATGCCCCCATGATGCCCGAGCCAACCTCAAAGGACTCCTATGCATTTGCAGATCAACCTTTGCCTCTTTCTTCCCCAGCTAATCTCATTCATACAATTTTTAAACTTTAAAAGTAATAGTTTGCTGTTCTTTTTAAATACGGAAAGTGCATCTACTTTGCATTTACATTTACCTTAAAAAACTAAACTAAACTAAACACCATGCAACCCAGCAATCCCATTCCTGGGCAGCAAGCCAAAGAATAGGAAACCATCATCACAAAAGACCATGCATTCCAGAACCTTCCCACAGTATTATTGACCATCGCTAGGACATGGAAACAGCCGACATGTCCATCCACAGGCGACTGGCTTAAGAAGAGGTGGTATAGCCACACCCTGGAGCACTACTCAGTCATAAGCATGGGAGAAATCCAGGCATTTTCAACAAAATGGAGGGAGTGTGAGAAAATGATGTATAGTAAAACAAGTCAGAACGAGAAGGGCAAATACTGGACACTTACATCCATACAATTTAATAATAAAATACTTTCAAAAACTAGCGGACATCAGTAATCACCAAGAAGACTCTGAGGTTAAGAGGGAGAGGGAAAAAAGAGGAAAAGGAGGCATAAGGGATAGAGGTGGAGAAAAATAAAATAAATGAGTAAATAAAAATAATAAAGTATGGAAAATACAGAAAAGGAGAAGGAAATTAGCCCCCATGACCCCACCATACAGAGATAATTTCTATTGGCACTTTGGTATATTTTCTCTCGTCTTTTTCTACACATACTTTTATATAAGTGAGATCATAATATTTGTATAAAAACCATGTCCTCCTTTTTTACTTAATTTTCCTCCAGAACCATTTATTTTCACTAAAATGTCTTTTTCGAATTACATTTTAAAACTGTCACTTACATGGTCATTATAAATGGCTACACAGTCCATTCTTCTAAAGTAATGTAATTTATTAGTCCCATCTCACTTAGGTGGTTTACCTTTTAAGTTATTTTGTAATGAATTAACCTTATTTGATTAAATTATACTTATTTATAGAAGTTTAATTCCTAAGTCCAATTATTTAATAAGTGAATCGCTTGATTATATTAATTTACTGAAACCCTTCTGAAATTCACTTAGGTTGCTTACCATTTTTTTAAAAAGATTGATTTATTTATGCATACAAGAACTGGGGTACAGGCCAGAGGTATGGGGGGTGAGAGGATTCACCAGAGACAGAGTGGAGAGCAGAACAGGCAGATAGACCAAAGATACTGCTGAGGGGAGCGGCAGGCAAGACAGGAGAGGTCTGCTGCGCCATGTGGGTAGCTCCCTGGCCACTGGGGATTGAACTCATGCTGCAGTGGCTGCTGATGGCTTCACAGTGCTGTGCTTAACCCCTTGCACCACCAGGGAGGCCCCAGGTGGCTTACCATTTTTGATTCTTACAAGTAATTCCTTAGTAAACACCTTTGTATATAAAGTTTTACCCCTTCCTCCTCCACTCCTTTCATCCAGAATACATCCTAGGCGTCTCTCCCAGAGGTCCACAGCCCTTCAGTAAAGGGCATCCCTCCAGGACACACCTTCTCCCCACCCACCGCCGCCCCTGTAAGTTGGCACCTGAGTCCTCTAAAGTGATGGGTCCTTCTCCCCTGCAGGGAACCCCACGGGCAAAGAATCCATTGTGCAAGTCCACATTGAAGTTTTGGATGAGAACGACAATGCCCCAGAATTCGCCCAGCCCTACGAGCCCAAAGTCTGCGAGAATTCTCCCCAAGGCAAGGTGAGTCTGGCTCAGGTGGGAGGGGAAGGCAGCGCCCCCCTGGGGCAGGCTGAGGGACAGCATCTCCCAGCCACAGCAGGGGCTTAATATAACCTTCACACCAGGTTCTCCATCTTTTTTAAAGATGGAGAAACAGAGATTTAGAGAGCACCTGTGGGGAGTAAATTGGCGGGGAGTGGTGACAGGAAGAGCAGCTCTGTGGAGGTCATTTAGATTAATGCTGCAGGTGAGAGGCAGCAAAGGTCAGATCTAAACCCAGAGTCTCCACCACAGAACCCCCAGTCACCCCAACACCACCACTGACTGTCTCCTATCTTCGCGCTGCAGCTGGTCATCCAAATCTCAGCCATAGACAAGGACATCACGCCACAAAACGTGAGATTCCGATTCTCCCTGGGCACTGAGGACAGCAACTTCACCCTCACGGACAATTATGGTGAGCACCCAATCAGCCTGCCTGCCTCTTAGCAGCCTCGGGAGTGTGGCTATTTGAGGCCCGAAGTGCCAGGATCAACCACCAGGCCAACGACCTGGGGGTGTCAGGTCACAGGAGATTCCACAACCCCGCCGCCTACCTTCCTGGTCTGTGCAGTCGTCAGAGCCACCCCAGCACATGGCAAGTCTACTGGGCCTGCCAGTCCCCCTAAGGTGCTCCGGTCAGCAGGGGGTGGGGAACAGGGAGGGGTGCAGACAGCCTGGTACACGGCGAGCCAAGGGATTCCTTCCCCCACCCAAACTCTGTGCTCAGCACAACGGCAAAATGCTCTACAACATGCAACTCGGAGTTCATTCCCAGAAAATCAAAACTGGAAATGTGAATTCTGAAATGCCAAGGGCATCATGTGTCAATTCAGCTACGATGACTACTCACCACCAGGGGTGCGGGAGAGCGGCTTCCCCAATCCCAGCCCAGGCAGTCCTTCCGACGAGTATATCCTTAGAATGAGGATGCTGAGGGGACTGAGTTCCAGTCAAGAGCAGACAGGTTTCCAGGATTTCTGCAGCTTTCTCAGAAAAGCAGAGAAAATACCCCTTAGGTCTAAATTAGAGTGATCCTTTACCCAGCATGGGGCAGAATCCTTGCCTGTCTCTGGGCAAAACCGTGGTTGACGAAGACCCCGGTATAGAAACAGCTATTGTCACTTTTGAGGAAGGTCAGGAGTGGGGCTCCTGAAAGGGGGTAGAACCAGGGGAATCCGTCCCAGACCTGTCCTTCAGGAGCCTCTGGTGGAACTGGAAAGGGGGCCATGATGTATTGTCAGTAATATATTTATTAACATTCAAATATCTTTAGCAGCAAATAATGTAGAATAAACACCAGTTATCACACCCCCAATGTCCCACCTCAGCCCCACCGGCAGGAGTCTACAAAGGGGGAGAAAATTTCAGTGCCACCTGCAAGCAGGTGGCAAGTCTCAGATTTACTTAGTGTGAATACCCTAACATAGTGGTAAAGTGTCATTGGCCATATTATTATCCGCAGTTGTAATAAACCTAATAGTGACATATAACTGGCTTTCACTTGACATCTGAAAGATGGCCTCCTGCTTCGGTCTGGCGTGCCACGTGGGCCAGCACTGTGTAGTGAGACAAATCCCGGAGCAGGGAATGCCTGGCCCGGATCCCGAACACCAGCATCATCACACAGAGCGTGGCCTATCTGGTCTCTAACCAGGGGAGATCCTTCTTAACACTTATCAGAGCTAAGAGGATGAGTCCATTCAGATCTTCCGAGACTTACCATGGAGTTATAGCCTGGAAAACCCTTCATAAATTGAAAATAGCACAAGTTAAAAATGCATTTAATACACCTCACCTGCCAAACACCAGCCTTGCCTACCTTAAACATGCTCAGAACACTTTCATTAGCCTCCAGGTGGGCAAAACCCATCCAACACAAACCTCTTTTACCATAAAATGCTGAATACCTCATGTCACAAGTGACCGCTGTACTGAAAGTGAAAAAAACACCAGCCTTATCCTCGTCCCTGCAGGGCTGACTGGAAGCCGCCCCTGCTCGGCATGCCAGAGAATATCAAATACCAACCCAGGAAAAGACTGAAATTTAAAATTCTAAGTGGAGTTTTGACTGAATGCATATAATTTTCCCACCACTGTAAAGTCAAAAAATTGAAGGTTGAACAATTGTATAAATCAGGGACTGTCTGTATTTAGGCCAAAGCACATTCCTGATTCCAGTCTGCCCAGGAAATCCTCGATTACCTATGTAATCATTCCCTGGGTGCGCGGGGAACATTTGCATTGTTTTTACTTTCTAATGGATTTTCAGGGATGGCAGAAACTAAGACGGTAACTCAGTACTAAAAAGAGTTTTTAAAACTTTACTTTTTCCCTGGTTCCTTGTCAAAGCTTTAACAACCCATTAACTAACTGAGCCAAAAGAGAGACGCCTGCTACTGGATAGGGGTCAGAGAAGAGGAAGGCATATCAATTGCCCACAGACACAGAAAGCAAGGACTTTACATTCTGGCCTGGCCATTCTTAGAGGCTAGGTCACAGCAACTGCCCAGAACATCCCTTCTCTGAAGGAATCGACTCCTGCGCTCAGGCAGGAAGTAAGGGACACAAAGGGCAGAGAAGCAGCCCAGGCCGCACATGGCGCAGTCAGGGAGGGCTCCCTGGAGGAGGCAGGCCACATCATCCCACAATGTGAATGAGGGGACAGGGCACTCAGGGCAGCAGAGCCTGACTGGGAGGCCTTGGTGTTTCCAGATAACACGGCCAACATCACAGTCAAGTACGGACAGTTTGACCGGGAGCGGACCAAGTTCCACTTCCTGCCCGTGCTCATCGCTGACAACGGGAGGCCGAGCCTCACCAGCACCAGCACACTGGCCGTGGCCGTGTGCAAGTGCAACGACCATGGAGAGTTCACCTTCTGCGAAGAGGCATCAGCCCAGGCAGGCATCAGCATCCAGGCGCTGGTGGCCATCTTCCTCTGCATCCTCACCATCACAGGTCAGTTGGAGAGTGAGAGGGGTTTAGGGGGACACCCAGGGCCGCACAGGCGGAGGAAGGGGCCAGCAGTTCGCCCCTATCCTGCCTCCCAGCCTCCAGGACATAGCACAACCCTGGGCCTTGGGGTTCCACTCAAGCATCCTGGGCCCAAGCTCCACCCCATGGCTGTCTAAGAATGAGGGGGATGGGGAAGGCGGACAGGTGGGGACAGTAGAGGGAGGGGCAGGGCCCAAGACGCTCTTCTACTTTAAACTATTTTATATGTGACATTCACTCATTCGACTGACATTTTTTTAAAATATTTACGCATTTATGGGCCTCCCTGATGGCGCAGGTGGTCGAGTGCCGCACTGTTAAGCTGTTTGCAGCCTCTGCAGCGCGAGTTCAATCCCTGCCAGCCAGGGAGAATCCCACATGGCGCAGCAGACCTCTCCTGTCTCGCCCACTGCTCCCCTCAGCAGTGTATTTCAGTCAGTCTGCCTGTTCTGCTTCCTGCTCTGTCTCTGGTGAATCCTCTCACCCTCCCGCGCATCTGGCCTGTAGCCCTGTTCTTGTGCAAAAATAAATAGATCTTTAAAAAAATATATTTATGCATACATGAACTGGGGTACAGGCCAGTGGTATAGGGGGCTGAGAGGATTCACCAGAGACAGACTGGGGAACAGAACAGGCAGATCTACTGAAATACACTGCTGAGGGGAGCAGCGGGGAGACAGGAGAGGTCTGCTGTGCCATGTGGGTAACTCCTGGCTGGGGATCGAACTCGTGCTGCAGAGGCTGCGGATAGCTTCATAGGTTGCATGTTAACCCCGTGAGCCACCAGGGAGGCCCTGACTGACATATTTTGAGCACTTACTGTGTGCAAGAAACCACGTCTGGTAAACGCGCCAAAACGTCCTCGCCGCAAGCCTTTTTGCTGTACAGCTAAGCTGCCATAAGGCAACTTTGCCGTAAAATATAGGCGAATTTGCTGACAGTTTGGTTTGACAGTTAAGTTTGGTTTGAGCTTGGTTTCAAAGACACAGTATTCCCATTCTCTGTACAAATCATAGTCCTTCATAGAAATCATAGCCATTATTTAAATCACAATGGTCTATAGAATAACAAGTAGACACGGTAGTCTGAAAATAGTGGCTATCTATATATTGACTTGGTAGAATAAAAACACTATAAATCTTACCGGAAGTGTAAAAATAGGAGTGTTAAGCCAAGCTGCACACAATACTCGACAATGATCGCCTATCAGCTTGCAAATCCTTCAGTGAGCAACGTCATTTTTTCCCCTTGCAACCAAGCAAGGCAACTCTGAGAGAGCCAACCAGCAATTCACAAGAGTCTTCAAGAGTATTAGTCATCCATTCTTGTGCTACTTTAGATAAACCTCCTGTTCGCTAATGCCCTCTTTACCAAATACATTACACAATGTTAGCAGCCGGAGGCAAAAGAAAAATCAAGCGCTCCCCACCCCCAATCCCCAAAAAGAGACTGCTGTGTGAGTCCTGACAGGTTTCTTGAAAAGAGTGAAAAGGTTTTAGCTATTTGGGAGAATGTGATGGAGACAGAATTTTGGAACTCGGCACGGAATCTGGTGCAATGATTTGGTGAAACAGGACTGGACATGAGACGGGACATGTACATGTAGTCCACATGTGCACCGCCAGTTACATGTTACATGCAGTTATACAAATAGCATCATCCATTCATCTTACTCATTTTACTGAGTAACAGCAGATTTTTTTTTATATCATAAAGAACTTAGTTCCCACATTAAATCCTGAATTCCTTTTTTCATGATTTTATATTTTTACAGCAAAGTTGCCTAAAGCCAATTAGTTATGTGGTGAAAATGTTTGAGGCAAAAATGCCTGAAAGGAACTTAAAGCAAATCTACCTACTAGACAATGTTGCAAGGAACTGTTGTAAGCACTCACAGCTGGCATTGGTGCACCTGCTCCTCTCAGCTCATGGCTGGGGACTCCTCCCAGGGGCATCAGCTCTCCTGCTCTTACCCTGCCATGAGATGGGGCAGGGCCAGCCACGTGAGGAGACACCTCAGAGGTTAGATATCACCCCCTGAGCTACAGTAACAGGACTGGGCGATATATGTGGTGGTGCACCCGCATCTGCTCCAGGCCTTACCTATCAGTATCTCCCCTTTGGGGGTTTCTGTAGCACAGCGTACTCACCAGAGTCAGGTTCCCCTTTTAATAATGAAAGCCATATTGGCAGCAGTGGTAGTGCTGGCACTGCCACCTCTAGCCTTCTAACTGCATCCCCAAATATACACTGAGCAGTCTTCACTTCCATTTTACAGACAAGGAGACCAAGGCTCAGAGAGGGTGTCCCAGATTTACGCACATGTGCAGTAATAGCTTGTTAAGTAACTCGAGGCTAGACAGACAAAGCCTGGGGGTAATCAGAACCTAATTTTAGGGGCTGTCTGCACATACACTCCACCCCCTCCCGGGGTGGCTGAACCTCACACTGGCACACTGCCCTCAGCTTGCACTGGCATGGATGTCGACACCAGTGCCCCACAGGGGACTCGCGGATACCGCAGCTCTCTGAGTCCAGCTCGCTGAACTGTAATAATAAAAGCTACCTTGAGTGAGAAAACACCAGCATGCACCCCATACCATGCCAGTGCAGGCAGCAGTGCCCAAGAGTGGCTGCTGCATCCAGAGAGCAGGCACCACCCTGACCAGCACCACCTCTATCCATCACCCCCATCACTACTGTCAACAAAGCAAGCCTCTGAGTCTGTGCGCTCCAAAGTACAACCCCATGCCTTTTCGGTGTCGGACCCGGCCTCTGGCCTCCTGGCCTTTGGACATAATATCGAAGGATTTGCCCCGGTGCTATGAGAATGCAGGAAATGAGGATGCAGGTAAAGGTGGCTGAGAAGGCAGGTAAGAATGAACTTGAGGGCAGCCCTTTCTATTCCTCTCCTCCCCATTCCCAATCAGGGCACGGGAGATGGTTCTCTCCCGTGGAGATGAGGCCGGGTGGCCCCACCAGATGCAGAGCGAACCAATCTTTCTGTGCTGATTTCTCTAGGAAGTTGGGTTGGGCCAGGAGTGTCCAGGGAGGGAGCAGGTGAAACTCGGGGTGAGGGTCCACACTGCCGGCTGATCCCTGTCTGACCAGCCCTGGTGCATTTCCCCGCAGTGATCACCCTGCTCATCTTCCTGTGGCGGCGGATCCGGAACCAGGCCCGCGCGCACAGCAAGAGCGTCCTGGAGATCCACGAGCAACTGGTCACCTACGACGAGGAGGGTGGCGGCGAGATGGACACCACGAGCTACGACGTGTCGGTGCTCAACTCGGTGCGCCGTGGCCGGGCCAAACCCCCGCGGCCGGCGCTGGACACCAGGCCGGCCCTCTACGCCCAGGTGCAGAAGCCACCCCGCCATGGGCCCGGGGTGCACGGGGGGCCCGGGGAGATGGCCACCATGATCGAGGTGAAGAAGGAGGAGGCAGACCTCGACGAGGGGGGGCCGCCCTACGACACGACGCACATCTACGGCTACGAGGGCTCCGAGTCCATCGCCGAGTCCCTCAGCTCCCTGGGCACCGACTCTTCCGACTCGGACGTGGATTATGACTTCCTCAACGACTGGGGGCCCAGGTTCAAGATGCTGGCCGAGCTGTACAGCTCAGACCCCCGCGAGGAGCTGCCGTATTAGGGGACCCTGGGTCTCTGGGCCTGGGGACCCGAATCACTGCAACTCAGGCCAGTGGGACACCTGGGACTGAGTCCTGGGATGGCGGCACAGATGCCCCCAGCCCAGCTCCCCTTCCTCCGGCGTCCCCCAGACCACACCACCTTGGGGAGCCGCAGCACCACCAGCGTCAGAGGAGCCCCGGGAACAGGGACTGTCTGCATTAAGCCAGCAAAGGGACAGGAGAAGAGAGACCTAGCCCAGCCCCCGTCCCCCTGGGAGCTCCATGTAGGTAACTCTAGCTCCCCGAAACTCCCAAGAACATATTTCAGTGATGGCGACCCCTAAACTTCTGGAAAATCCAGGCTGGTGTCTGGGCCCAGACAGTCAGTAACCACGCAGCCAGGCCCAGGTCTAACCTGGGACACTGGACCTTAAAGCAGCTTGTGTTCAGCTGACTGGAAGGTCCTCCCCTGGGGTCCCTGAGCCCAGAGGGCCTGGTACTGCAGGCAAAGGGCTAGATTGGGGGCGGGGGCAAGGGGGAGGCGGCGCATGACAGCACAGTCCCATCCAGCACCCTCTCCGGCTCCAACTTCACTCCCTCCCAAGTTCCCCACCCCTGCCCGGCCGGGCCCTCCCCAGGTCTCGCAAAAGATAGGAAGGGACCCCTCGGCCATTCCTGACTTTGGGTGCTGGGGTGACGTCACTGGCCTTCAGTTCTGGGCGCTGAAAATCCCACCCAAGTCAGGGAAACGGCTTGTTGAACTTTGAAGCAACTGTGAATTCGTCCTGGAGGGAGAGCAAGTGTGACAGATCACAGGGCAAGGCCGCCTCACACCACTCCCTCTGGGGCGCGTCTGGAGTAGCTGTGACCCCAATTTGATAATCACCAACACCCCTCCTGGTGAAAGTGGGGCAGACATTCCCAGAGCTGACCTGCCCTGCCCTCTGCCAGTGTTCCCTCTAACTCTCATGCTGGCTCTTCCCCCGACCCCCAATTTACTCCTGTCTCCTGGCTTGGCTGACTTCGAGGCACTCAAAATATGACCCACAGCAACTCTGTCCGGACCCCAAAATTGCTGCGCAATGGAGCCATGCCGTTTGCCTTCGCACCTCGTTGCTGCCACATCTCAGGGAACCCCAGCAGAACCCTCAGGCCCTGCAGAAGGCAAAGCCCTGCCCTAACCCTGCGGTCATCTTTGTGTCTCCCACTTTCACCCCCATATGGAACATTCCACTGCCTGGGGGGGGGGGTCAGGCAAATGCTCCGACTCACCCACCCTTCTTCATGGACAGAGGACCCCACTCTGGGGAGGCCCCTCCCACTTCAGGGGATTGTAGATAACACTGACCTTAAAAAAAGTAACTAATATTTCGTAATTTTTTTTTTTTTTTACTAATAATACTTACAAGTTTCGAGTGCTCACAAACATATAGAAAAGGGGTTTTTGCTATTTAGGTTAACAATTTTAATTCAGGTTTTTTAGTGGGATTATCTGATTCCTATAACTTTCTATTTCCTGTCATTATAATAACTGTTCTAGAAATGATGACTCTCTATATGTACATTGGCTACACTGGTGCATGGGATGTACTGTATTTTTTTTTTATATCTAAATAAAGAAAATCTTTCAATTCCTCCATTTCTAAAGCCGAGAGGGCGCACGTGAAGCACAAACACCTCCACCGCCATCAGAGGGACCAGGAACAAGGGGGGGTCTGCATTAAAGATTTCAGAGATGCTCATGACAGAAAAGGGATTGGAGAAGAGTCCAGCCCCTCCCCCCAAGAGCCCCATGACTTCCCCCAGCTTCTTTACATGCCCCCCAGCCCCACCCCCACCCCACACAACCTGACAGGGCCTCTGACAGGTGCAGCCACACCACCTGTCCCATTTGGTAAATGAATCGAATCAGGGGTTGAATGACTCCGCAAGGAGGGAGGTCCACTTTTAATTAGCTGGTTGACAGCAGTGATTGAGCACCTGGCATTTTATTGGAGTGTGTAGACACCAATCTTGGGGTCCTACCCGGAAGATCTCATAATCAAAACAAGAAGAGGATGTTTCTGTGTCAGATCTTAAAGGAGGAAGACAAGGTTCCTGCTGCTTGAGCCTTCCAGCAGGTTCCACGGGGAGTGTTCCCCAGGGGTGATCCTTTGCAAACTGTGCTCTGGATAAACACTTCTTGGAGTTTGCAGGGTCAATTTGTCTTACTTAACTCCAGTTTTGCTCCCATTTCTCTTATGGCTTCTTTTTTGATCCATTGGCTATTTAGGAATGTATTGCTTAATTTCTACATATTTGTGAATTGTCCAAATTTTCTCTTATTATTATTGATTTCCAAAAAGTCATGACACATGACTTTTCTGACAACACAGTAATTTTACTCACTTGTGATCAGAAAACATAATTTTTGTGATTTTATCCTTATAAATTTATTGAAAATTGTTTTATGCCCTAATATTTGTTTTTATCCTGCAGAACTTTCCATGTGTCCTTGAATGTTTGTTGTGCTGTGGATCTGTGGATGGTGGACTGTCCCGTTGCTGTTGAGAAGGTCTTGACAGTTTACATTATTCAGACTTTGTATTTCCTCACTGATGCTCCGTCAAGTCAGTCTAGCCACTGTAGAAAGTGTGAGCTAAAATATCCAGCTGTTACTGTTGAATTGCCTATTTGTCCCTTCATTTCTATCAGTTTTTGCTTCATTTATTTTGGGTCTCTGTTGTTAGGGGCATTTAGGTTTATAACTGCTGTACTTCTTAATGGATTGAACCTGCTGGCATCACAAAATATACCTCTTTGTATCTAAGAAGTTTTATCTTAAAGTGCATTTTAGCTGACATTAGTGTAGTCATTCCAATTATCTTTTGGTGACTGCATGATTTATCTTTTTCCATCCTTTTGCTTTCAGTCTATGTTCTGTAGACAAAATATAGTTGTGTCACTATATTTTACATTTACCAATTAATTAATTTTACCAATTGCTACATTTAATTAATACATTTTACCAATCTCTGTTTCTTGTTTGGAGTATTTAATTTTTTTCCATTTAATGTGATTATTGATAAAGTAGGATTCATGTCTGACATGTTCCTGTTTGTTTTGTACATTATGACTTTTTAGTTCCTCCATTACTGGCTTCTTCTAAGCAAAACAGATACTTAGTAATATACCATTTAATTCTCTTGTCATTTATTTCTCACTGGTTCCCTTGAGATTTATATTTAAAATCTTAACTTAAAACAACCCAGTTAGAATTTATACTAATTTAACTTCATGTACAAAACTTTGCTCACTTTAGTCTAAAGGACTCTGTTTAGTTTTTTGGTTTTTGTTTGTTTGTTTGTTTTGTGAAAAGGTCTGCTGGTACAGAATCATCTCCATTTTGTTAAATTTGGGACTGTCTTTATTTCTCCCCTTTTTTTGAAAGATAGTTGTGCTAGATAGAGAATTCTTCATTGATACACATTGTTTCTTTCAGCACTTTGAATATCATCCCACTGCCTTCTGGCCTTCCTGGCTTCTGAGAAGAAATTGGTTGGTAATCTTTTAAGGAGGCTTTGTAGGTGATGACTTGTTTCTCTCTTGCTGTTTTGAATATTCCCAGTGTCTTTGATTTTTAAGTTTCATCTGATGTGACTAGAATAAATAGTAAGAGTTTATTTTACTTGTGGTTTATTGAAATCCTTGAAAATGTGGGTTAATGCTTTTATCAAATGTGGGGAGTTTGGGACCATTATTTCTTCAAATCTCCTGCCTCTTTCTCCTCCCCTCTGGGGCTCCCATTATGCATATAGTAGAATGCTCGCTAGCGTCCACAGGCACCTAAGGCTCTGTTCACTGTCTTCATTCTTTATCTTTCTGTCCTCAGACAAGATCATCTCAACTGACCATCTGCTCTTTGTTTCATTGAACTCACATCTGCTCTTGAGCTCTTCCAGTGACGTTTTCATTTCACTTATTGTAATTTCAACTCCAGAATTTCTATCCTTCTCTTTAAAAAATGTCTACCTCTGCTGACTTTCTCTATTTGTGAGACATCACTCTCATGCTTTTCTCTAGTTCTTTAGGTTTTCTCTAGCCCTCTGAACACATTTTAAATAACTGGTTTAAAGTCTTTGTTCAGTCCAACATCTGGATTTCTTCAGGGATGGTTTTTATGAACTGTGTGTTTCCCTGTGAATAGGCCATACATTTTTTTAAAGATTTATTTATTTATGCATACAAGAGTTGGGGTGTAGGCCAAAGGTGCGGGGGGTGGTGGTGGTGAGAGGATCCACCAGAGACAGAGTGGGGAGCAGAACAGACAGGTTGACTGAAATACACTGCTGAGGGGAGCAGCGGGCGAGACAGGAGAGGTCTGCTGTGCCATGTGGGTCAGCTCCCTGGCCCAGGATGGAACTCATGTTGCAGTAGCTGTGGATTGCTTCAGAGTGTTAATGCTCAAACACTTGCACCATTGGGGAGGCCCAATGCCATACATTCTTATTTCCCTAATTTTTGTAGAAAATTGGATATTTTAGGGGCCTCCATGGTGGTGCAGCAGTTGAGCGCTGGGTTGCGAAGCTGCCCGCAGCCTCTGCAGCGCCGGTTCAATCCCCGGCTGCTGGACGAGGGTCCCACATGGTGCGCAGACCTCTCCTGCCGCCCGCTGCTCCCCTCAGCAGTGTACTTCGTCAGTCTGCCTGCTCTGCTCTCCCCTCTGGCCCTGGTGAATTCGCTCACCCTCCCACGCTTCTGGCTGTATCCAGTGCTTGTATAAATAAATAAATAAATCTTTAAAAAAAAAAATTGGCTCTCTTAAATGCAAACCAGATCACTGTCTCCACAGGGTTTTTGTTGCTATTACAGTTTGTTCAGTGTCTTTCCTAAACTAGGGCTGAGGCATACTCACTCTTTGTTGTGTGTGCAGCGAAGTCTGCTTGTGAGTGGTCAGCTTACCACTGGAAAGAAGTCCCTTAAATCCCCAGAACCAGTCCGTTTCTCAGCATGTGCTGAGGAGAGGGGGCTCTATGGATAAGTTGGGGAACTCCTTCACTGCTCAGGCAGGCATTTTACAACTCCCAGTCTTCACTTTCTGATCGCAGTGAGCCACAAGGTCAGCCAGAGGTGATGTTCAGAGCCTTCCTGGCTCTTTCCTTGGCACATGCACAGTCCTATACATGTGAGTGAGCTTTCAGGTATGGAAGAATATGCCAAGGTTTTTCAAAGCCCTCTATGGACAGCTCATTCCTCAAATTTTCCTTTTAAGATTTTCCATCAGTTTCTTGTTTAAGATTGTTGGTCCAGTTGTTATCACTGCCTCAAACAGCTACAATGTTAATGATTTCCACTGTTGTTCTCTATAACTGCCCCCAGCAGACAAGTTTTTTTCATTAAGCAAGCTTCAAGTCAGTTCATATAAACACAACCTTCCAAGTGAGGTCTTTTGGGGAGCCACCAGACAGGTCAAATCATGACAGCTATGTGATAACGGGGTTCTGGAGGCACCCCAAGCCTGCTCTGCTATATGCCAGGGGCTGTTCTATTGGGTTTCAAGGACTAGAGAGAAGATGGGACTTGGACTAGTGAAAACACCACAAAGTTTGCTGTTCTCACCAAGATTCAGCTGTTTTTCTTGAATAAACACTCCCCAGACTGTTGCAAGCCTTTGGTTCATTTCCAGAGTTGTGAAAGAATTGATTTTACCCATTCCGACAGTGCTATCATTGCTTTTACAGAAGAGAGGATTTCCTTATTCTGCCATTCCTGTTGATGCCACCGCTCAGGCTACTTTGTCATCTCAGTTTCCCTCCCAGGGGGCAGAAGTATCTTCCCCTGAACTCACAGTTGTCCAGCCCCTGGCGCCCATGAGATCTATTCACTGCCTTCTCTTCCAAAAGGCCTTCCAGCACGTGTCACCTCAGATCCAGCTGGCCATATTCTTCCAACGTGCCAGTAGGGTGTGATTCTGAGCTCTAATGTATTCTGCCCACCTGAGCTCCTTGACTTCTGTTTGCCCTGAGGCAGGAGTGGTCCTCCTTGTGCAGGCTGCAGTTCACCTCTGAACTTGGATCCTTCAGTGACATCAAGCTAGGCCACAACCCATGCCCTCTGGAATCTGCTAGCCATAATGCACGCACCTGGACCAGCCAACCCGGGTCCGCAGTAGTGCCCAAAGTATGCAGGAGTGGCAAAGGCTCAGACTCTTCCCGTCCCCCACATCAAACCTATGAGACCAGCACGGCCTTCCCCACTCCACAGACGGCTAAAGTGAGACTCAGATAAATAAATAAGTAAATAAATTGTATAAATAAATCTTTTTAAAAAAGAAAATTGGATCTCTGTGGCCAGAGCCACAGAGCAAGTCAGACACAGAATTAGGGCTAGAACCCACTTCCTGAGTAGGAAAACCCTAAGCCTGCAGGAGACATCCCCAGAAGTGAAGGCTACAGGTGGCGCAGGGAAAACATCCAGCCCACTGTGCTGGCCATGGGAAGTGACCGCCAGGGGGCGTGTGGTATCAACAAATGCTCAGCCTCAGAGCATCCCTGGCGTGGCAGGCCGGGGCCTCCAGACAGTCTGCGTGGTCCTGGCCCTTGACAGAGGACCTGCGTCAGAGACATGACTGCAGAGCCCAGCACCACGAACCTCCCAAGTCCCCACTCCACGCCCCCGCCTCCCCGGGCACCAGGCTCTGCTGGGGAAAAGGGAACAGGAATCTGGTTTCCCATCTTCCCTAGGGAATGGCGCACCTCTGGCCTCCCGTGTGGCCACAGCGAATCTCAA